CAGTTAAAACCCATAGGGTGGGAGGGTGTGCAGCATCCCTGAAAATCAGGTCCTTGTGACTCATTCCCCAAAACTCTGTTCTGTCCACAAGGAGGAACCTCCCACAAATGGGCAAGAACAGGAAATTCCATGTAGCATTGAAAGACTGAAACTTGTGGTAATACTTTGTTCCAACACACAGCAGACTGTAACTTCCATATTTGGCATTGGATTTTTTTTCTTGCTCTGTTATTTCTTCTTCTGGGGGCAGGAGGTGGAATCTAGTAAAACACACTGAAAATTGGTTTGTATTAAAACTTCCTCTGTACTTTGGCAGTAAATTATCAGCACAGGATTCAATGTAGGACATAAATGGAGTATTTTAGTGTAAGTGAAGTAGCATCCTGTATTCCTTTTTGGATTAGAGTTTATTTCCCAAATTTGTTTTCCACCAAACATAAATCTTTTCAACTAAGTGGTCTAGCTGCTTGACAGCAAAACACAAACCCTCTCAAGGCTGCAAGCTGTTTCTAAGGTTGTGGTTCGCTCATCAGCTATGAACGGATACTAATTTTTTACCAGACCTTGATGACTGTTCTGTGTAATCCAGTTAAAATTTCAGAGCAACTGGAGAGAATGCTGGTTAATAGGGTTTGTGAAATGTAAAGCCAAGTCTCATGCTCTTGAGTCCAGTGAAGTTTCACTGGAGTATCTGAAAGTACAATCTGGCCCCCTCTTTTTAAAAAAAATTTGCACATGATCTAAAGATGTTATAAACTATTGGAATTAGTGATGCAGTCTTTACCTCTTGTGTTTAGATAGGGCAGATCACATATGGTTCCTATGGAAATGTTTTTCCTGTTGGCTGTTACTGAAGTTAGTTCCAGATGCACATGCTTATTGTGTAGGCATCTGCTATGTTGTAGTTAGTTTGCAAAGAAGAAGAAAGACTTGTGGATCAGTGAACCTCACCCAGTTGTTTAATTCGGTTTGCATATGTTAGCTTCCATATGTGCAGATGCTTATGTCAACTTCCCAATCTTTTGAGGTGTCATTCTCATCTTTGGAGGTTGGCAAAGGGCCTGACAAATGTTCTTCCTTCAGAGGTCCCATGGACTTTTCCATGGCCTCCCACCCACTGACCCACAATCCCCTGATCTTGGAGACATCCCTGAGCTCTACAGTCTGTCAGCTATGCCTGGAGTTTGTTTGCGCTTCAGATTTTTATGGCTAATATATAAGCCCTTCAGTATAGGTAGATATGAATGAAATGATCCCTAATCAGGGAGGGTACTTGCATGGTATAAGAATACTGGTGTAATGTTAATGTTGTGTATGGAAGAATCACAAAACACCGAGCTGGATTGCCTTAAGAAAATACTTAACGTTTATTAAAGAAAGACAATTTTAAGGAGTAACAGAAATCAAAACCAGCAATCAAAAACTCTCTCTCTCAGAAATTGCCCTTCAGCAGAACTGTTGTCCAAAGTTCTCAAGTTTCTCTTTTGCCCAGGCTTATCTCCAATACATTTCTTAAATACAGGGGCAGATTAGAACATTATTGCAAGAGTGTATCACCTTTTTGCCTTTCTTAGACTCTTTTTGTCAATAAGAACACAAGAACTTCACTGGATGCTGTATTAGATGGATGTGTGAAGCTTACACATTGCTTCCTAAATACATGATCATAAGTATCTAAACAGAAAGCAGAAATAAAATTTCAACTTGATCAAGAGCCAAATTTTCAAGTATGGTCACAAAAGGTGCAAATACTTAAATGAGTAGACACGCAGGTGCAAATTGACTGGGGCTGGTTTGACCCCACAACTGGCTGTTGCTTTTTGTGGGTGCACATATATTTTTTCAGGTATTCAGTTTTCAAAAATTTGGTCCAGAATATATATTTAGACGGTTTGGTCTTGACTACAGCTCTTCTTGAGGTCAGTTGGATTGCTGTTGCAAACAATCTTTATCTTTGTATACCTGGGTTGGAAATGGGTTGTTTCCTGTTGAAGCAAATTTGGATATTGTTGAACTTGTTGAACTTTATGGAATGGCTGCAAGGCCCAGGATCTATCCTCTCAGACTTTTGCCTCAGGAAGTGGGGAAGAGTAGATTATGAATATTGTTGAATTTATGGGACAAATCGATTTCTTCTGCTCTTGCTCAATGTATTGGCATTCACCAACATTTTTTAAAAAAATTCTCTGACATCGAGTGCCTCAGTGTTTTGTGTGCCTCATGTGTTGCTCGATTTTCAGAAAAGCTGAGCACCACAACTCCCATTACTCAACATCTTGGAAAATCAGGTCCTGGTTGGCTCAGGTAGAGCCATTAACAGTGAAGACACCCAGTATTACTGGATACTTGAAAATGTGACTCATAATTTTCTTTTTAAATATATTCAGGGGGAAATGATGTAATGTTTATAAATTAAATGAGAAGGTATAATAATAGCTCCATTCAAGTTTTTAGCTCAAAGAAGCAAAAAAGTTATTAAACGAAGATGTCAGATATTTTTGGTGTTATAAACTTTAGGCCATCCCCATTAAAAAGGAAGTCACGTGAATAAAAATAAAGGTTTTCTTTATACCTTCCAACCTGATATTTTACACTTTTAGTGAAGGGAACTGGGAAATATGCTGTAAGGCCACCCTATACTAATGGCCACAAACTGAAACTATGAAACCTTGTTAGTTGTCACCTGATGAAACTTTAATAGCATCTTCTAGAAATGATGGTTTGAAACATTTTATTTTGGAGCAATATTTTTGCCAACATGTCTGAATTTCTTAACTACTTTTTTCTTTCTTTTTTATAGAACCAGGGGGAAGAGATGCTGTCTGAGATGTCAGGAGGAACAGCCTAAGGGGAGGGGGTGCAAAGGTGGTTTTAAGCAACTTTTGAGACTCCTAATATAGATTAGAGCTGCCTCCACAGTGCTCTAGTTTGCAGCAGGCTTCTAATGGCGGCTTATGGGCTGCTCTACAGTTTGGAGTAATCCAGACTCTATAGCAGTGTGTGCTACATAGACTCCTGCTGTCCCTGGGCTAACCCTGACATGCAGCCTTGCAGCAGGACTCAGAGAAGCAGTGTAGGGGTTCTTGTGACACACTTACAATTGTGGCACCCCACATGCTTTGCGGGTGGAGAACACAATTCGTCTCTTGGTCTACAAATGGAGAACATGGCAGTAGGTTAGCCTGTAGGAGGTTCTTTCTTTTCATAGAATCCGTACAAAATACGTGGGGTCAAACCCTATAGTTTAGTTCATATACTGGTGACACTCCCATTAACTTCAATGGGAATCTCACCTGAATAACAGCTACAGCTCTGTGTTTGTAAACCATAAGACTTCTAAGTAGTTTTTCAAGTTAAGTGACACAGAAGCCCCACTGCTGGAGTAAAGGCTAGACAAAGCCATGGGGACTGTTCTATAGGGAACACTCCTGTATAGGTAGACAGCAAGATGAACTGAATGATCTAATAGTCCTTTTCCATCTCCAAGTTCAATGAGTCATTTGTTATTTTAATCATCTACACCTATATGAAATTGCCTCAGAATGATACAGAACTTAATTTTTCAACTGTATCATTCCGAGGCAATTTCACCCAATAACAGGATTACCAATTACATATAAAATTATACTATTATCCTTAGATATATATTTTGAAAAGATGACTTACTGGCCAGGTTTTTGTGGCTGCACTTTGCACTGCAGCACAAGGGGGAGAGAGGTTCCAGAGTAGCCTTGGGATCTTTTACTCCTTGAGATGGTATAGTTTTGTCATAGGAATGGGAAGTTTGGGCTCTAGGTAGGTATTAACATCTCCAGCACTCTAGATCACTAGAGCAGTGCTGGCCACATCCGTCATCCTGGCTGGAAGATGTTACATGTGGTCTCATGGGTGGCAGGCATTCAGACTGAAGGATGAAGAAGGGGAGTGTGGTAGGTCCAAGAATGAAGGCAAAAGAAGATTGCTTCATAGGCTCCTAACCTGACTGATGTTTGATTTGGATCAGGTCTATCTGTAGGACTGGCCTTATGAAATGAAAGGCTCCAACATGCCACAGATGATGTGTCATGAGTTGCCTCTTCTGATTTCACTGCTGTAAGGGGAAATCATGTGGTATCTTTCCACCCCTCTGGTCCCACTGCCAGGAGGGCTGGAGTATGCAGTGAGTGGCCTCCCCTTTGTCCCTGTGACTGCAGGGAGAGATTATTACCTTAGTCTATCAGATGCAAGTCTGTACACTGCCCCATGCAGTTACTTGCATTATGTGTGTGTAAGACTGGCCCTGCGTTATCTCCCTCAGGACTTCTGCTTCCTGTTACCATCAAGAATACTGGGTTGGATCCTGCTTTTCTTATATTTTATTACCCAGATGCAGAGCAGTGGCAATTAAATATAGCTAACAGGTGATACTGTATCCATCATAATTTAATGAGTACAAGGCTTGGGAATCTCTGCCACTGATAGCTTCAACTCATCTGCAGTAAATAACAAATCATTTTCTTGTGTGGTATCAGCTTCTGCTCCTGAACTCCAGAATGTGAAACATCACCCAATTCAGAGAGAACATTAAGGGAAACGAGGGAGTACTTAGGGAAACTAAGTGTTAAACAGAACCATCCGTCTGAGGTGGAGCACTTGAGAGCTGGGTATTTGGTATCTCAATCATGCCTGGTTTATGGCGAGCAATCCTTGAATTTGTGTGACAGCAGCCCAATGCCTTTCAGTAGATTACATCATAAATAACCCAAGCGTGAAGTGGTCAGAGAATCCAGATGAGAGAAAGCAAAAGATATATAGAAACAAATGAGGGGTGGTGTAGTTTGATTTAAAAAAAAAATTATTAAGAGAAGAGGGGATGCTGGAAATGGGTCATTGAGTTTTACTCAAACAGGCACATTCCTGTGATTTTACTCCCACAATCTCTCCAGGTCAGACTTTTTCTCTCTCTGTTGAAAGAAAGGAGAAAAAAAAAAAAGAACCCACACAGAAATCAATCCATCAAATGTCATTACAGATTTATTAAGCCTGATGTAGAAAGACTTTTAACAGTAACATCTTCAGAAAGCATAAAAAGAGCACTTCTGTTCAGTCTTGTGCTTTGAAAATCTAAATATATTTTTATCATATAAATAATTCTTTTCATGTTTTAAGTGCATCTGTTTTTTTCCCTTTTTAAATTTCCATTTTACAATTGGCCAAAACTGAAGTCTGCATTGACTGAAATGAAGCCATTTGCAAAGCTAATGATGTTGTGAAGCATGTCTATGGTGAACCATATCAGCTAGATTTCAGAAAGGTAGTTCAATGAGTGCAGCATTAAAATGAGGGGCAGCCTCCAGCAAAATCATAATTGAACACACCCAAGTCCTTAATGTCTGTAGTTCGGTTTCCTGATGCAAATTACGATAACGTTTCAGATGTGAACAGTTGCTTTCCAATAACTGCAGTGAGAAAGAGACATTTTCTGCCACAAAGGAAAGAATTACCATGTTTAAAAATGTAAATAATATATGTATAGCAACCTTTTTTATGGAAATGAGGCATTCAGGATTATATGAACAGTTTGGGATTTTTTTTCTTTTAAACACAACAGATAAAGATGCATCATCTATTATTTGGGACTTTAATTACAGTTCTAAAACTGGAGTGATTTTATTTGCAGTGATAAAAATTATAGAGCAAAATATCATTGGTGAGAGATTTCAATGCTGCAAAATCATACACAGAAATACATCTTAAGTGTACCAGTACACAGCCATTCTTTTGTAAATCAAACAAGGCCTTGGATAAACAGGTTTGACCTGATTTAAATGTAATGAGATACATAGACCTTGATTGTTAATAATTGGTTTTGGGGACACCAAAACAATAAAAGCAGTAATCTCCTCTAGTATAAATTATATGAATTTATTTAGCAATCAACCAAAGAAAAAAATGCCATTAACATTTTCAATTTGTTATTTAGTTTAAGTTAATGATAATAGACAAATAATGTGAAGCAAAATTGCCACCTTTGAGAACCTTGGATTTGAGAAAGACAGAAATATTGGGAAGATGCATATCTGTGATGAATCTTTTTGACCACTAGGTGGTACAATCCTCCTAGGAGAAAGGATTTCTTTTTATTTTATTCTTTTTTTTTTTCATTGTAAAGACCATTCATAATCATCAAAACCAAGTGAAACATGGTTTTGATTAAAACAGCCTATTGGCTCAATAATCTTAGTAATTTTAAAAACATCCTTAATGTGGAAGAAGAACACTGGAATGTCAGAAATGGCCTTGGGGCCCATTATAACAGCAACAAAATAAATAAGGAGGAGAAATGAGGGGTCATGAAAACAAAATTAAGCTAATGTTTCAAATTTTGACAATTATGAATTGTTCCTCTAAGAAGACTTTTTTAAAGCAAAAAATTCAGGCACTATTAGATACAATACAAAGAGAATAATTGTACATGTATGGGACTAGGCATGCCTTAAAAGCAAAATTTGGACTTAGATTTTCCCCCCTCCCCTATAGCCAGCAATTGGGCAGGTCTCATGCAAACACAGACTTGCTTCTCATAGTTCATCTGTAAACTCAACCCTAACTCCTTTATAAACCATAAAAAGATGACGACCAAGGAAAACAAAAACAAATTACAAGCAAATTTTTGATTAAAAAAATTATCCCCCAGAATGGACCAGTTTTGTAGGAAACAGAAACAAGCAAATATAACAAAATCTGTGTTCATAACATGGCAATATAGTTAATATATACAAATATGTACAGTATAAAAATGCATCAAAGGCTTAACTTTCCATCCAACCAAGCTGCAGTGCACAATGAAAAGCAGCTTGATGTGCCCCCCTCCCCCTTCCCCCTGCCCTAAGTATACAGGCAATATATTCTGTACAACATGCACTTGTTACAAAATGAGTGCACAAGCACCAAAACATTCTACAGATAAAGTCACTGTGATTTCTCTTTGAAAGGAGTCCTCTTTCCTTTGTTAATATAAAAAATTGTTTACTTTTCTTTTTGCGATTTGTAGTACAGGTATATACATTGGTTTTTGTCTGACCAAAGAGAAGTGAGCTTTTGATAACGCATTTTTAACCTTTAAAACAAAATTCTAGAACTAACACCTATGGTCAAGAATGTAACCTGAAGATGCTGCCAATAGCAAACTTACTAAACACCACAAGCGTTTGCTCAGAGCAAGAAATAGCTGACTGTCAAATTTACTGGGGTGGCCAACTGTGCTCCATTATTTTAAATAGGGATGGATATTTATGATTCACACTGACATATTCAAGACATTAGGAAAAAAACAAAGGATGGGATTAATAAGTGATGGCTATGAACTAGACAAAAAGGTATATTGTACCAGAGATATATGATAGTTAAGTACCCTGAGCCAAATAAAAACTGTTGAGCTTGTCAGCTTTTGCAACCTGTATTGCACATTCCAGCATTTGCTGCATTATAAAGCCAAAATACTGCATTGTATGCCCTGAAGATTCCTGCTGTTTTTGCTCAGTGCAAATAGTGTACAGCTGTTACTTCAGCCACAGAATGGTTCATGCTTTTTATATATATGCATATTGTATGTATATGCATATATATCTAGATATCTGTCTACATCTACATAGCTATCTATATCTATCTGCTTATATTCACATAGCTACAGAGAGATATGTAATTCCTGAATGTTACATGGACCATTTAGTACGTGAAAACGTTACCATACAAATCTTTCACATCTGAGACATAATTGCATGGCTGTTTAAGTTCTGTAAATACAACTCTTCACTTGGGGCTGATACCCAACTGTGGATTTGTATTTCAAGATAAATCAGTCACCACTTTGCAATATATTCGTATTTTTGCACAATTTTTTTGATTCTTTTTAAAAGCAAAACATTGATCATTTTCCTGCCATCTCATCTGGAATGTTTAATGAAAGATATTAGCTGTACTAACAAAATAAAATAAAATAAAATAAAAATAAAAAAAAAGGGGGGTGGACGGGTGGGCAGGTGGGGAAGAAGGCCTGCACAGGTAGATAATCTAACTCAAGTAGAAGCAACGTGTGACCTGCTAGGATTAGTATTTAATCTGTTTTATCCAACAGGGCATTTTACAAAGGCTTGAAGACATTTCACCAGCTGAGAATGAAGATGAGGTGGAAGTTGGAGTTTATTATTCTTGGTAAGTCTGGTGGAACAGCTACTTCACTTTTTAAAATACTCTCAAAAGAAAATACTATACAGACACTTGGTACACAAAACATCTTTACCTTAGGCTTTGTCTATACTTAAAAGTTTTGCCAGCTTAAGTTAAAACAGCAAAAAAACCAAAACAAAACAAACTCTAGTGTAGATGCAGTTATACGAGAATAAAAGTACTTATTCCAAGATAGTTTATTCCAGGTAAGCGAAGCAAAATAAGCTGTACTCATATAGCTATTTTTATCCTACGGCTTTTACTGATATAACTATTTCATGAAAAAAAATCATATTAATAAATGACATAGCTATGCCAGTAAAACTTTTTAAGTGTAAACCAAGCCTTAGATGCCATCTGACATGGGCTGGGGACTGCATTTGCTGACGGTGTTTTAAATACCATTTAGTATGTTAAAAAAACAAATTTAGAAACAGTGGAGCTGCATTCTGATCTTATGCCCTTGTAAATCTAGAATAACTTTATTGACTTCAAAGAAGTTACTCTGGATTTGTACTAATGTAAATGAGTTCAGAATCTGCCCCATAATTTTAAAAGTTGCTTGAAATATGGCTTGGTCTTGTCTACCATGGCTGGTTGAAATTTGTTCAAACCAAATCAGACTAAGCTGATTCTAAACAATATTTGAAACGAAGTTCTCAGCCCAGTGGATATAGGGCTTCTCTCTGGGATTTTATAATTGTTGCACATTAAGTCACACAAAGGTTTTGATTGTACTTATTTTGATTGATCCTATTTAAAAGAACAAAACCCAACCAAACAAAACAACCCAAAGCCTTCTTTCTCCACTGAAGAGGATTAGAGTAAGGACAAATCCTAAATTATGTGTGCATGAATGAGATCAAATATTACAGGAAATAAAAACTATCTGGAAGAGTTTATTTATGGAGTTATTCCTTTAAAGGCCTGATCCAGTGCCCATCAAAATCAGTGGAAAGACTCCTATTGACTCCAAGTGATGTTGGGTCAGGCCCTTAGTTTGATGGAATGTAAACTGAAATCTACCTTAAAGTGCATGTTTTTTCATTGTTTAGATACTTCATGCATCTCAAAATCCAGCAATTTTACCCTCTCTCTTTTTTTCTGCAAAACAAATAAGGACTCGATAATATCTGCCTGAGTTTACAGATTTCATTTTCTGTCTAAAATATTTCAGAGACATTATTGAAGAACTATGTGCACTAAGGAAAGTAAATGAGCATGTTAGTATCTTGCTATACTTTTTCAACAGAAAATAATTCACATTTGTTTAAAAAATAAACTATTGCAAATTATGGAGAAAATTCTGAGAGGTAAAGGTACTCATCAGGAAAGCTATGCCCACTGAAACAGAATCTCACTGCATTTACTATGGCTTTCTTCAAAACCCACAGAGAAACTAATCTACAGGTCCTCTGCAATAAGAAGCACAGAGAACTGAGGTCAGTGGGTCAGGGTTGCTATGCACTCACATAAATATGTATCTCATGGTCTCAAGGAACAGAAATAATATGTCAGGTTATATGTAGGGCCATTGCAAGTATAGGGGCACATGCTAGTAGTACCTTTTCAACATATAAATTTACCTGTTTAGGAGGTGGTTATGTCAATTTCCCTGCAAGGTGACTGATGGCCTTTAAACCCTATTGTAATTGTGTTGTATTGATTTGGAATCTGTGATTAATATTGTCTTTATTGAGGGAGTTTTAAATATAAATTGCATCATTCATCTGTTTGTGAAGGCAAAAGACAAATGCTACTGAGATCTATTTATACTGGGCACAATTGCATCCTTTGCAATGAACTTTGCAGTCAGAGGCAGGGTGGCACGCGGGGGGTAAGGAGGCAGGGATCTTTCTTCACCCCAACCTTCCTCCATGCAGCTGGGTAGGGCTGCGCCTTGAGCTAGTTGGGAAAAATTGACAAAAATGGTACTGAGCATTCCAGACTGTGCTCCTACTCTGGCTGGTGCACTAAAACATTGGCCACTCAGGTGTTGCTCAGCACCTGGCAGATTGAGCCCTCAGTAACTAACGACAACAGGTGAGCCCGGCATAAGCCAAATCCCCTCTGAGCTGTGCCCAACTTTCACTTAAGCACTGCCTCAGGCCCCAGGCCTCATAGGGCCTTTTCTTCAGCCTCACAAGGCTTTCCAGACCTCACCCTGCTTTCTTCCAAAGCCCCACTCTCCACTCCCCTAAGCCTTATTTCTTAAAGCAAATTAGGAAATGAACCTTTGGTATAAATAGCCTGGTTTATATGCCAATAAATATGGCACTTTATTTATTATTGTAGTTTATTAAAAATGATTGGGGGGAAAAAAAAGAGAACACTAGAAAATAATCCTTGCCTTATAAATGTGTGAGAGTTGACACAATAACTTCTAAAAACTCCTTGGGACTTCACCCTTTACTGCGTTAATATATAATTATTGATTTTTAAAATGACTTGTTATATCCTCCATGATCGCTAAAGGAGCCAGTGAGGTCAGTCTTGTAACTACTTTTACAAGTAGGTAATAAAAATCCTTATGAAGTTGGATTGACAAGTAATTACTGGATATGTTAGCTGATTTTCAAAGTTTTTTTTTTTTTTAAATTGTAATTGAACTAATGATAGCCATTTTTAAAAACTAGATATCCTCCCCTCCACTCCCACACAACCCCCTGGTGCCTGGACAATTAGGGCCTTATTTACAAAATTGCTGAGTACTTTCAATTCTCATATTTTAGGCTCTAAGCTGTTGCTAATTCCACACACCCCTTTAAAAATCATTTTAAAAAATGGTGAAATGGCTTATTTAGACATGTACAGTAGCAGAAAGGAGGCTATGGTTTCTAAATACACCTTGCAGAGCCGTACAGAAGGGTAACAATTCTTAATGCTTTATTGCAGTGCAAAAGCATAAGAAGCTTGGATATGTGGTGTACCAATATGCCACTTGTTAATAAGCAGAGACATGAATCATAAAGATTCGGCTGTTTGATCACCAGGTTTTTAATTAATGTTTTGATGATCTCCAATAAGAATAAAGTCAGAACGATAGCTATTGAGTAGATGCGACAGAGAAAAGATGCAGTGATTTTCTGTGTTACCTGATTTATATGACAGATAAACTATCAACTCATCCTGCTTCAGATACAGAAAGAGAGAGAGAGAGAGAGATGTATATTTTCTTTTTTATATATATCCTCTTGTAAAAAAAAAAAGTCACTTAATTCAAAAGTGTATCTAAAATGTTCCCAAAGGACAGTGATGCAGGCAAAATAATTAAGGTTTAGAATGGCGGAATAAAGGTTTGTGGCCAGATTCTAAATGAAGTAGTTGTTCTAGCGCTTGACCATGCAGCACCTAGTTTTCTTGAATAAATCAGGCTCTGTTCTCTAGGCTGGTGTCGATCCTTTACTTGTGCTCTTTGGGCCAGAGCTTCTTCTGGTGTCAATCGGCATCGTTCAGTTAAAGTTAAGGGAGCTATGCAGATTTACCCTAGCTGAGAATCTGGTCCAACAGATCTAGCCCTGCGACATCAGGACAGGACAAGGAGTAATGGTCTCAAGTTGCAGTGGGGGAGATTTAGGCTGGATATTAGGAAAAACTTTTTCACTAGGAGGGTGGTGAAACACTGGAATGCGTTGCCTAGGGAGGTGGTGGAATCTCCTTCCTTAGAAGTTTTTAAAGTCAGGCTTGACAAAGCCCTGGCTGGGATGATTTAATTGGGGATTGGTCCTGCTTTTGAGCAGAGGGTTGGACTAGATGACCTCCTGAGGTCCCTTCCAACCCTGATATTCTATGATTCTATGATCATCAAGCTCTTGTAAACTTGCACTGAGGAACAATGGCGCTAATCTTGTAAACTTGCTCCCCACCCCGTTAGCCCCCACAGGCATTTTTGAAATCTTTTCATACATGCAACAACTTGTTATTTACCAAATAAATAAATGAAATAAATAAAACAAGGAGAGAGCGCACCCTGTAAAAAAAGAGAGCACAGACCTTCCACTAGAGAAAGTGGTAACTTTTCATCTCTGTTTGCACTCACTGGTCCCAACATGATTATGTGTCAGCATAATTCATATTAGAGTGCATGTTCTATTACCCAGTTGCTACAAATGCCTCATTTTACATGTCTCTCTGCTGAAGGAGAAGGTCTGCTTGAGGGAAGGAGGGTAGTCCAGGCATGACAGATTGTAGAGACAGAGTTTCCTCTTGAAGAAATGAACCCATATCTTCATGGTTAATCTCACTAACAGGGTGTCAGAATCTGGTCTGTGAATAAAGAGTGAACCAAAGGGCCCTACAGCCCAAAATATTGTGGCTTGATTCCCCAAGTATCACCTCATCACCCATTGACTTGGATGGAATGGAGGGGCTTAGCTCCTCAGCACTTTACAGAATCTTGCCCGCTGTGCTGTTTAAAAAAAAAAAAAGGCAGCAAAAATGTTGCACATATAGAGCCTGCGTCCATTGAAATCAATGGCAAAATTTCCACCGGCTTCAGTGTAGAGCAGGATTAGGCCTATCAGAAGTCAATAGGAGTTTTGCCAATTGAGTGCTGTGGGAACAGGATCAGACCCCAGCCCCTAGTATTTGCTAATGTATTTTATGTCACAAAATTTATTTATTTATTTATTTATTTATTAAGAAAGAGAAAAATTCTTGGTGCTGGAAATATCCATGTTTCCCCAAAGTGGAATTTGATAGTAGTGCTGGACTCACACTGGAGGGACCACCCCACCTCCCCCACACTACATAACTTCATTTAATAACTCTGATCTGGACTGTGCGATTTAACAGCTTCAGAGGAACCCAATGCTAATGCATTGATTTCACTTTAATAGAATTTTGTTGTCAATGGACAGGGCTTGGCACAGTGCATGCTTCAGTCTTAACCCATCTGAAGTCTCCGTTCATTTCCAGTTGAGCTCCGTTCATTTCCAGTTGAATAGGTTAAGCAAAGACAGATCTCTCTGTTCTCAATTCACTTTATGATCCTCCCATCATAAAAAATAATATCAGCACCTTGCTTTTCATGTCAGGACTACATTTGAGCTGCTTTTCCCTATGCCCATGAGTAAATCCCGTAAAAGCCGCCCCGTTGTACTGTCGCTATTTTTCCTTGTGGATGATTGATTGATGGATGAGTGCTGACACTTCAATGAAGCTATTTCGACTGCCATCTCAATCCGATGATGTGAGGGGTCTATTTTCTGTCCATGCCTCATTACTTCAGAATGACATTCCTGGAACTTCATTTACTTTTTCCCTCCTTCCCTCAAGCGCCATATTTTTCCCCATCTAGGTTATGCATGCCATAAAAAAAGCAATTTGCTATTATATGTGGTATAAGGGCAACATGTTTCCTAGGAGGTAAATAACAAGGTCCCCCTCCCGATGTTGAGTTTAGGGATCATGTCAAAATTTCCCAACCAATTCCAACATCGCCCACCCTGCATCGGAAATAAGGAATATTATAAATCTATTTAGATTCATTTTGCCATGGCTGCATTTTTATTTTATCCTTCAGATTCTAAATAAAATAATTAAAAAGCAATGCCCCAAATTGTCTTCAGTTTGAAAAAAGATCCACATCTCAATTTTGTGCCGAGCATACTTTAAATCTTTCATCTTGAGTAGCAGTTTACATCTTGATTCAGACTTATTTATCCTTTGAGAATAAGGAAATTTATTCTTTAAATGCAGTGATGAATTTATCTATTCTAGGTTGCTTTAGTTGTACAGCAAATGCTCAGCTAGAGTAAACAGAGCTGTGCCTGATGAGCTTGATTTTCCATACAGTGCACTAAGTCATGTGAGGTTTGTAATATTAAAACATCCTGGAAGCTTTTCTGAGTTGACTTCGAACCCGATTTTAATCTGTGTAATACAGTATTCCCGTTAATAATAATGTATAATTAAGACATCCGTTAAAAATCCATAACGTTAATTTAATGGAGAAAATCTAATACAGTTCTATTGGAATTTTTACGTTAAATTAACTTTAACGGGCTTTTAATGGATGTCTTAATTAGATCTCATTATTATCATGAATATTCCACAAATTAAAATTGGGACCTCTAAGTTTTAATGAAAAAAGTTCCAGGAACAAATTTTAAATTGAAGCCCTCCCCTCCTACCCTACTGGGTTTCAGCTGATTTTAAAAGTAAGCTGTGCTTTGTGTCAAGCCCAACAGACAGTACGAAGGCCAGATTCTGATCTCATTTGCAATAGCATAAATCCAAAGTAACCCCATTGACAGTAATGGAGATGAATTTGGTTCTTATTATATATATATATATATATATATATATGATAATGCTCAATGATCTAACAATAGTGCTTTTGTTTAAAAATCACTCCATTGCATATGTCTTGTCATATGCAGTAATGGAGATTTAAAAAAAAAATATATCTGATGAATAAAACAAACTGAAAATAATCCATTTTAAACAAATCTTTGGCAGCAACTTGGTTAAACATAATTATCTGAACAACTTGCACAGAAGATTAACATTGTTCAGAGTTTTTTTGGCTCAGAATCTGGTTTAACTTAATAATTCTTCTACTTACTGTGATGTATTGATCCCTAGTGCAATGACTGGATTGAGCAACCCAGGTGCAACAGTAATAGCTGCACTGAATAGAAACATTTCCTTTAGACAAACGATCCCAAAGGGGTTATAAATAGGGAATGGACATTACCATGAAAAGCAAAGCTTCCAGTGTGACGGCATCTTGTGTAGCACACTTGGACATTAAACTATGAAGAAGTATACTTTTTTTTTTCCTGTCAAGTGTTACAAATTGATGAAATAAGTACATCAGTGTTCTCAGTCATTATCTTACTTCAGTGGCACTTTGTTTTAGTGACAGCAAAAAGGGACAGTGGAGACTAGACAGCCCCAGTGCAGTTTATCAATGAAAATCTAATATCGTCCATAAGCAGGGGAGTGGAAATCAATACTTCATTACCAAATTGTTAGTGAAGATGAAGAAGAATAGCTGGAGTGTTTTTGGCAGTCTTCTCGGTCCGGGTTGTCGGGAGTTCAATGTCAGGAGTGGAGTGACGCGTGGAGACGGGCTCAGTGCAGGAAGCCTGGGCTGGAGAGCTGGAACTAAGGCATTTGTCCTGTAATCAGAATAATAATATGTATGTATATATTATTATACTTGAAATCATGAATCTAGGTTTTATCAAATATATATTTTTCTCAATAATTTCCCAGCTTCAGTTTCTGTGACATCCCAGAACAATTCAGAAGCTCTCAGACGACAGAGATTGACCCAAAAAACAAACGAACAAAAAACAGATAATTAAATCCATTTGTGTCCTGGGATAAGTGTCCGTAGCTCCAAATGAAGTCGAGTTGTTGCAGCTGCTTATGCCATATCTGAATCTGGCCCACTAAGTCCATCACCCTGCATATCCCAAACATGTACTAGGCTTGCCATTCTCTAGCAATGAATATTACCTGTTCAGTATAATGAACCTTGTGTTACTCTGATCAAAGGGATGTTGTAAGATCCAGGCTGAATGGATATTTTGGTATCCACTTTGCCTTTAAACAGGCCACCATCATGTTATTTCTGGTCATTCCTGGAAATAATGCTCCCTTCCCACAACCCAGCTCTCTACTACTAAAACCGTGGCTCTTCCATGAAAAATAAATTCTGCCATCCCACAGCTACTGAACACACTAAGTGGCTTATTTTGTGATGTGGATAGGGATAGAGTGCTACTTTTACCTAATTTTAAATTATGGATTTAAAAGTTTAATTCAAATTTGAGTGCTTTTTGGCTTATGTCCTGGGTCCAAGAGACTGAGAAAAACAGCAGACAAAAAACACAACAGTGCAAAAATAAGGTGAAAAAGGAAGCAGAGACTTAAACAGAGTGAAATCCAATACAGAAAGAGGGTGGAAAAAAGGATCAGCAAGAGATAGAGAAACGTGTTTATGAAAAAAATACAGACTATTCAAGGCCCATGTACTCTGCAGCAAGCAGGATGAAATTATGTGGAATCGTTCCTTAATCTGGCTCAGCAGACTGCAAAACCAATGGTAGCTTCATTTAAATTAAAAATAATGTGAGATTTTTCAATAAATTCAATCTGAAAATGAAAACTACCAACAGTAGAGTAGACTCCATGTTATTTATTTTGATATTCAGTTTGTTTTACAATCTCCTCATGTTTTCAGGGGAATTCAGAGTTTTGCATTGACCATGCACAACTGCAATGGAGAAGTTGGTAGGAGAGAAGCTGGAGACTGCAGCAGTGTGGAGGGCACCCAAGCTTTCAGCACCCAAGAATGCACAACAAACAGTCAAGACAGTGGGTAAGTACAGTAGATAGATATTTCCACTAAAATGATAAATGCTGACAATGGTTAATGTTGACATTTTAAAATGTTGTCTTTAGATTTCAGAGTCAACACTCCACTGAGATGAATGGGGTAATTCACACCTTGCAGGGCTGATGTTTCAGGTGGCTTTCTCACTGAAGGACAACACTGCCTAATCTACTCCTGCTTCACATTTTCAGGGTTTTCTTCACAGAGGAGAGGGCTAGAAACATAACTATTTAAGAGGTCTTTCCATCGCTACAGTAATTCCAGCCCCTCCAGACAATAGCTAGGTTGACAGAAGAATTCTTTTGTCAACCTAGTGGTTTCTACAGTGGGGCTTAGGTTGGCTTAACTGCGTCTCTCAAGGATGTGGATTTTTCATGCTCCAGAGCAATGTCGCCAGTTTTAGATGTAGACCAGGCCTTAAATTCTGCAGTAAGTAAGAGGTGGATTCTGTGGCAAATTTTACAACTACAGAATCACTGAGCACAAAGGATCCTGAGTACGTACGTGGCACTCAAACCGCATCAACTTGTGCATCAAGCTTTTGGAGGGAGTTTTCTAAACCTAACCCAGAATGACCTGGGCACCTGTGGCACTCTACTTAAGCCTTTTGTTAGGGCTGTGTTCAGATCCATAGTGGATCTGAAGTGCAGGATGCCTACATACCTCATACAAGCTGAGGAGGCAGCCTCTGGATTGGCCCGATACTGGCCAGAATGGAACATGCTTCCAGAGAATATTGCTCTCAATGCAGGCCGGGGCAGGACTTTGGGAATTTAGTCATAGTTGTCTGAATCCCCATACAGTGCAGACGTGATGAATAAGGTAATTGTTTATGCAAGTCTCAGAGAGAAACAGAGTGTCATTAGAGAGTGCAACAGTTGACTGGAGCATAAGAGGTTGGTTTTCAAATGGTATTCGTTAGGAAAGTGATGTTGCTGCCCGGGCATTTATTTTAGTGTGGCTCAACTTTCAATATCAAGAAAGGTAAAGTGTGTAACTTTAATTATGATCTAAAAATTCCTTTGGTGCTGTTCATCATGCTGGTCTTGTGCAGCATATGTGAAGCATCAGATGCAAAGACATTGAGACTTTGCTTTTATTTAACATTAATTATCAAGCTGTCAACAGATGTAAAAAGTTATATCTATTTTAATGCAGCTGTGTCAGGACTCAAAATTCCTTCCAGTAAGCACCTTCCCACTCATAGAGCAAACACCCTCCCTCTCATCATTTGAATCCCACCATAAATCTTCTGTGAAGCTTTTTGAAGAGCAGTTCTTCGGTGTGTCTGCAATTTGAGACTGGACAGTTAACCCTTTGTCAACAGCTAAGGGCTCTGTGTGTGTGTATGGACTCAAAACTGCTCAACTGTTTATCATAGGCCCTACACTTCCCTCAGTTCCATGCACTAGGCACTGCACTTTATTTGCCTCTCTCATCCCAATCAAAAGTTATACTAATTGTACTGCAGTTTACATCCAGCTGGTATGACAGAATGTGTTGCCTATGCTTTTCACATCAAGCCCTATCCATTGGAATTTATATATCACAAATGGTTTGTCAGGACCTATGGAAGAAATATGGCCCTCCAGACCCAATAGGATGATGGCAGACTCATCTGTTTACCATTTTTCCTTCTAGTTTCAGGACTTTATTAAAATAGTTTTATCACTGCTTTATCAGTTGGATAATAATAATATAATATAATATAATTAATTAATAACGCTTAGCTCTTATAGGACCTGATCTGCCCATTGAAGTCCGTGGAAGACATTGACTTCCATGAGTTTTGGATCCGACCCATATAGTGCTAAAACAGTTGGATATAAGATGCTAATTTGCAGCACTACAGAAAGACACAGGTAATTGCTATGGAGTTACCAAACATTATTTCTAGATGTCATTTTTTACCTATTTTTGTTACACTCTTATGGCAGCAGAAAATCTGTTCCTTCAAGAATAAATGTTCATATGTACGATATCCAACTAGTAAGAAAGAAGAAATCTGGGTAAATTTTGCTTGATGTAAGACTCTTTTGACAACTAATGATAATATTACAGACTCTAAATGCTGTATGGTTATCCATAATTATAACTGAAGGTATGTCAATCTAAATAATATGCTACCGTAAATTATTTATGCTGATTATACAAAGCATTTCCTCTATCTAAGTTTTGTCCGCATATCCATAGTAAAGCCTAATAGCAGGAGTAGCCTTCCGGAAGGGCATTTAACAGCACACTACAGTTTCATAGAACATATTTTAGTTTACAAAACAGAAATTCTTGTATGATCAGCAAAGATGGTTATGGGTTAAAATAATTATTATTAGTGCAATATTTTGTAATAATATTTTACATTCATTTAAGTTATGTTTCAACTCTCACTGAAGTCAAATGCAGAGACTCTCAATGATTTCATTGAGATCAGATCCATATTGCACTTCCTCTTAAGTTTCCTATAGTGCTTCTGAACTACATTACATACATGATGAAAGTGGCAATCAACTACTCCATAACGCCCCGAGGGGAGTATGAGGAGAGGTGAGATTTTGGTGAAGGATATCAGGGCAACTCACCACTGATCTTTAATCTCCATGCAGAGCAGACAGGGCCTTGGATATTAAATCTTTGTGACATCATACACACAGACACAAGGCCTTGGATACTAAATCTTTTGACCCTCCACCTCACCCCCCGCCCCCCCCCCCCGCAAAATGGGAGATGCACTTGGCATCATTTATTTAAAAAATTGTTTGCTGCCCATGATATAACTATCAGAATGAGTGACAAGACAAAGGAGGAGAAATTTGTTCTACAGCCCAGGAGATATTGGAATGCTTCAGTCTGTATGCAAAGGACACTATGGACAACAAACACGTAGGGGATCTTGAGTTCTTGTTGATTGGGATTAAGGGAGCTACATTTGAAAGACACTTGAAGGACATTAAAGTTGCATCCATTTGAGAAGAATCTTTCTAGAAAATACAGCTTTAATAGGATGGACAAAAAGTCCAGAGGATTTCAATACCAAGATCATCACAATTATAGATCATGGTCAGATCCAGTTTGGAAATCACCATCTCTCTGTTAAAATCAATGAAGTTATGCTGATTTACAAAAGCTAAGGGTCTGGCCCATTAATTGCAAACATAAATAATCTCTTTGAAATGCATTAGATTGAATTTTTTCTCTTCCATTTTCTGAGTTTCTCTTGTTCTGATTTCAGTGGAAGCTTTGCTATAGATTTCCCTACTTTGACTCTGATTCAACAAAGCGCTTAGGCATATGCGTAAGTATTTTACTGAACGGGGGCATTTGTGACCAGACAATACAAGCTTGCAGAAGCCATTAAGTTCTTTGTCAGCTTCTGGTCAGGAAGAGGCTGGAGCACTGGGCTGAGAGTCAGGAGGCCTGGACTTGTTGCGAATGGTTTTGAGCAAATCACATCCCTTCTCTGTGCCTCTGTTTCTCTTCCCACCTTTTGTCTGACATGTCTGTTTAGACTGCAAGTTTTTGAGGGTAGAGACTGTCTCTTACTATGTGCGTGTCCTGGGGTGAAATCAGAAGTCAGTGGAAGTTTTGCCATTGACTTCAAAGGGACCAGGATTTCACTCCTGATCTCATCTGGGGCCTTGAGGTGCCACTAGAATATAAATGCTAGTTAACAAATAAATAAAAATACACCTGACCTCTAACAGACACAGACAAAGAAATACCCTGACATTTGACTAGTCCCCCCTAATCACTTGTACAGGAAAGAAACACATGGGTATG